AAGGCGGTGACAGCCCGTTGACTGAATGAGGAGTGGGGTGGTAACAACAGTGTTCAAGATGTGTTTGGTGGTGTAATCTATTGATTTAAAGTCAAACGAAATGAGAATGGATAAATACTGCATTCTTTTGTCAGAGTACCGAGCGTGTAATGAAACGTTCAGGACTGGGCGTTATGCCCCACTCATATGAGCGTTATGCCCCATGGGTGGGGCAAAACGCCCGATTTGTAGTCCTCTCAATTCGGATGGCATATCTCAAAAACCATGCATGCCACTTGTTTCTGATGTGTTATTCGAAGAAAGCCAAGGTAATGAGCTACCAGATCAGCTACCTAGTTGTCTTTCAAATTTGTAAGATAAAGAGATACTGGGGCTGGAAAGTTAGGGTGGGCGCTTTGCCCCACTCTACCCTATAGGTACTCGGATCAGTGGCCAGCTAGTCAGAATGCTGAAAAAGAGAAAATGTTTTGCTGATAAAAAGTGTGCATTTAAAACGACATTGAAATATATTTCCTATCGGTTACCTACATCTTATGTTACCTATATCTGTACCTATATAGGTATATAGAGAAGCATGACTAAGTAACAAACCATTTATATAGGTCTTTGTTAGTTGGTCGAATAGATCCGTATATGGCTCTCGGTATCTCGTGTGTAGGTAGACTGGTAGATAATCTCAGTGTTACGAGCCCGCCTCCAGCCCCGTGTACCCTTTACCCTGGCCGTCCACTGTCTGCAGCTCGATGCAGGCGGTACTGACGGCAGCGTCCCTTACCTTGCACATCAGCCCCCACCTCTGCCGTGCAGTGTGAATGGATGGATGGACGGATGAGTGTCGTGATTGTCCGCTAGTCTAGTGGCGTGTCGTGTACGAGTCCTTCGCTGTCCGATGTGGAGCTCTTTGAACGTAATATATCTGCTCTTTGCTCGGGATTTAGGACGCTTCCTTCTGCAGCTTACGCTTTCTTTGGGCTTTGAAAGCTTCTCTTTCACGATTTTCCGCAAACTTTCGCCATCTCATAAGGCTTTGATTGATGCACCTATGAAAATCTTGATTTTTCACGAGCTTTTTGTTTTTATCTTTATTTCATCTGTTTTTATTCACTTAACCATAAAGTCACCGATTCACCACATATGCTTTTCTTTGTCTAATTTCTTTTACAATCGCCTTATGCTCGACGACAGCCTTGCTGTAGCATTTTGGTCCGTCTTTGCTCGAATAGAAACCAATGTGTGCTTGCCTGCAGTACTAACGCGCACGCGCCGGTCAGTCTCATACAGGAATGCGTAGTAGGTATACCTACTGTTCAATCACTGAAACAGCATTTGTTGAGACTGGCAAAATGCTAGCTTGCGTGTGAGCAAGACTTAAGCTTCTTGGCGTTATAATGTAATTACTTATATTTTTTGCCGATTCTTTGCGCCGTATGACTGAAAACGCTCTACCTATACCTAAGAAAGCGCCCGGACGTCACCATTTCCGGTGTCATCTCTGCATTCTTAGTTACAGTAGATTGGGTTCAAACACGAGAAGCTACAGAAATGCTCATTCAAATCAACTTGTTTCTTTAAATTTTGCCGCCGATCGGCATTACTCCGTATTTTCGTTTTCTGATCGTAGTTTCCTGTATGAGACTGGCCCAGTTAACACCTGTCACGCCGGCGGCGCTGCCATCCACTGGCCGCTGGCTCACACTGCGTTTCGCTCTTTTCCCGCCAGGTGGCCGCCCAGGTCTGAGCCTGCTGACCGTGCTCCGTGCATGTCTGTTGGCTGTGTTAGCCGTCGGTCTAGCATTTATGCTCAGCAGCACCGCGTTGCATGCCAATTTGCCGATGCCACGAACGTATGGTAATGCTGTTAAGGCTCAGTTTCCCGAAGCAGGGTGGTGGCTGCAGTGGTACTCAATCTTCTGGCGTTGTTGGCTGCGGTGACCGTTTTGATGGTGATGGTGTTGGCGAATGTGGTGACGGCTGTGACGGCGTTGGTGTTGACTTGTGACGGTTGCCACGTTTGGGTTTGTTTGTAGTGTTTGTTTCTCGTTACCTCCGACAGATGTGTACCTACCGTTTACTTGTCCAGTTCGTCTTTATGCCCGATACCTTAGTTTCTTCACCGCCCTGACATCCTGGTTCACCGTTCCGTGCTTCTATCCTCATGAATCCATGATACAGAAATCCTTCTCCTCCACGCCGCAACCCTCTCCGGGCTGGACAGGCAACTTTATCTCATGCGGGCTGCCCCCTTGGAGCGGCACCGCTGCTCCCCAGGGAGCGCACCCCGTAGCCGAGTGCAGTGAGTGCCTTGGGGCTGGGTGGCCTGTCCTCTGGACGGGCTCAGCCCCGGCGACTCACTAGGGTGCCTGCCCAGACCAATGTCTCCCCCTATATCCTATTATCCTCCCGGCTCTGAAATGGTCTAAGTGGACCGAAAGGGCCTAACCCAACAAAACAAAACAAAAACATCCTGGCTCACGTGGCTCCAGTGTGACCCTCCCTCGGCTGGCGGCGTTTCAGCCCGGGCCGCCGTCTCAGCGGCGAGCCGTGCCCCGTGCGGCGCCGCCCCTGACCCGACCCGCGCTCGGGCCTCCCGCTCCCGCATCCCTCGGCTGGTGGCCAGGCCGCCGACTGCCCCGGACACTGTCTCGTGTTCGGCGGTGTGTACGGCTGCTGACGGGGCCGACAGACCGCTGTCGGTCCGTCCCCGGCCGCCGAGGACCCTCCCGTCCCGCCCCTGGTCCCGCGCCGCCCGCCTCCCGCCGCCCGCCGTCCCGGCTCCCCGGCCCCCGCGGCGGTGTGTTTCGCGGGGCCGTCCACAGATGGCAGCGCGGTCGGCAGCCCCGGTCAGTGGTCTCTGGAGCGGGTGTACAGGAAGGGGACGGTCCCCCGGGACGGTTCCAGCCGGTGCCGAGCTGTGGGCCTCAGCTCTGGTCGCACTCACTGCCTACTCCATGGTCCTCATCCTTCCCTAGTCCTCCCTGGTCCTTCCCGGTCCCTCCCTGGTCCCTTCCTGGTCCCTCCCTGGTCCTCCCCGGTCCCTCCCTGGCCCTCATTGGTAACACGGCACTCCCTCTCATCATTTGCTCATCGATAGACGGGTAAACGACGTCTGCTCAGTCTTTCTTTGCAATATTGTGACTTCTGTTAACCTATCGGTGAGGCATGTTCTACTGGACTGTCCTCAGCTTAATCGTGAAAGGGAAGCGCACTTCGGGGCTACGCATCAGCTGACCATCCAAAACCTGCTTGGTAACGACTCGCACCTCCTAGACAGGAAAACCCTCTTTGCGTTCGTCAGAACCTCCGGACTCCGAGTAGTCTACTCTCACCAAGTTTCGTAAAACTCTCTCTTTACCGGAACTCTTGCCTCGCTGTCCTGCGAGGGTTGGCTTTTATCTTCGAGCACGATAGTTTCTAAACCCAGACCTAGTATATTGGACGTTAGCCCGAGCAACGCTTCTTGAGGGACTGTTGTCCCGTTTTTTACATCATTTTACTCGTGCTTTAAGAGAAAACTGCACATTGCTGACCATTGTTTAGCACGCTTACCTGCGCTTTAAGACTGTTGTTAACTCGCTGTTCAGTTCTTGCCCCGCACCTCACGCAAAAAGATAAGTTACTGGCGTCATATAACCCTCAGAGGTTGAGCACGCCATCAAACCCAATCATCATCATAACTTCTGTTAACCGTACACGGTCCTTATCCTCAGGTGCCCCTCCGGTTTTCCTCGGGATTGATTTTGCGTCCGTCAAAATTTTTGATCAGATTATCGCGTCAACCAGACGTCCCACCATTGCCGTTGCCGTCTTGTTCCCTGATTCATTCGGTATTCACTGAAAGCTGCTTACCTAACTGAAGCAAAATCATAGAAAAACGACGATTTTATGGAATTTATGGATTAGTTATGATAAACTGCCAGCGTCAAAAGAGAACAGAACCGACGTTAAACGTCTCCTACCTAGTCCCTCCTGAATCTCTGCCTGTTTCATCTCGGGCCCAGATGTATCGGCCTTTCCACCCAATTACCGGCCTCTGTACCGGCCTCTGCTCTCCTCGGGTCCCTGTCTGTGTATGATGTCATTGCTGACGTCACCGGTGCTGCTGTGCTGTCTCGGTCCGCAGTGTGCCGTCACGGAGGTCACTGTGGCCCGTTCTGTCCGTGTGGGGTTTGATTTGGGATTGTGTGAATCGGTTCTCATTGTGACCAAGTCGTTTCGGGTGTTTTGGATTTGTGTTCTGGTGCATTCTTTCTCTTCGATGACTGTTTGGATGACCTTAGTTTAGTGACTTTGTGGTGTTTGATTGTTGATTTTGTTGGCATGTAGTGCATTTTCAGGTGTTTGGTAGTGTTTCTGTGTGATCGTTCTGTGGTCGATCTTACCACAACTGTGAGTGACGCGGCATGCAATGATGGTGCATGCAGCTAACCCTCGCGCCACGAGCCCTGAGAGACGGGCGCCGCTAACACACCTCTTCGCTTTGCGCCGCGTGGCTAACACTACGTGTCCGGGGTCCATGGGCGAACCAAGAGGCCGCTTAGTGGCCGGGAAGGCGGCCGTTCGGAGTTGAGAAAGATAAATAATTGTTTTCGGCACAAGCCAGGTCTTACCGTTGCGTTACGGTCTTCTCATCAGTTAACGGCTCTTGCCGCACCAAAAGTATGCCTTCCCGTGCTCACTGAGCCCTTATGTAGAATTATATGGGATAATTTACGTTCAACTATTTCTTTGCTTTACGATTGCAGTTTTCAGTTCCATCGGTCATTTTGTTTTCATTTAAATTCATATTTATTTCGTAAGATTCAGTAATTCTTCATTTGCATTTTGCTCCGATTGAAGTTTACTATGAATTAATTAAGTTGTTCAATAATAAAGTATGATATAAAAATCACGACCTGCAGCTGATCTATGTGTGGTGGCTGTGCCGGCTTCCCGCCGTCCCCATAGCACTCTGTGTGCCGCCCCATGGCAGGGTGCTGACCCACTGTGCGCTGTGTCCTCAGGCGACCCAGCGGAGTCACCAGCAATGTTTTCAGAGCTCGTCGAGGGCACCTCAGGCCAGGGACCCACACTCAGAAGGTGAGACCCCCCCCCCACACACTGGCGCTGAGGTGAACCGGTAGGATGGCTCCAAACCTGCTACGCGTACGATGTACAGGTCTCGCGAGATTAAGCGGTAGGTTTTGCACTTTTACATTTCCGGTTATATCTCAGAAACTAATCGATCTACGATGAAGCCATTTTACACGATCATGGCCGGCTTGTTACCCAACAAGTCGATCGCATCTTCAACACTTAAAAACTTAAGACGACGAAGATATAGCCTGAAGTACACTAAATTTTCTAGGTGCAAAACCTACCGCTAAAACCCGCGAGACCTGTATATCCAGTGTTCGGTATACTGTTGTCGTTAATGGGTCCCGACTCCCGATCTACACTTTAAAGGCGCTTGTTGCCTCACGCGGCTTTCGCCTGTACATCGTATGTATCGCATCACATCGCTATCACATATAAAAGTAATTTATAATTTATCCCTCCGGCTATCCTCGGTCTGATGTGCTAATTTTTAAATCGCTGTCTGATCGTCCCATTGTGTGTCCCTTGACGTTCCCCCGTGTGTCCATGACCCTCCCCCCCCCCGTGTGTCTCTGATGTCCCTCCCCGCGTGTCTCTGATGTCCCTCCGTGCCGCTCTGACCCTCCCCCCCCCCCCCCGTGTGTCGGCAGAATGGTCCGCACGGAGACCCGCACTCAGACGACTTTTGACGACGAGGGACGGCCGGTGACGCGCACCGTCACCGAGCGCATCACCACCGACGCTGACGGCACCGAGTCACGAGAGATAGTCGAGACCGAGGACTGAGCGCCGCGCGCCGCCACCGCCACCTGGCGGCGACCGGCGGCCGCGACTGAGCTGCCACCTGGCGGTGACCGGTGGCCGCGATAGAGGACAGTGACCCAATCGCCAGTACTGATGCGGAGCACGGACTCGACTTTTACCGATACTAGTTTGATTGATGCGCGGCAGACGGAGAGCGAGCGAGTGTGCCGTGCGAACGGGAGTGGGGCAGGGCGCCGCGCGCGCCACCTGCCGCCGCCACCACGAACTGGAGCCTGCGGCGGCCGCCGCCAGAGCCGCCGCAGCGCGCGCGCGCATTCACCGAGGACGAGGGAGGCCTGCCCACCTGCGGAGCGCGCTTGTGTTGGCGCTGCGCCGCGCTGCTGTGTTTGTGTATGGGCCGTTGTTGCGTTGGGGAGAGCCGGTCGGCGCCGCCGCCGCGCCGCCCCGTTCCACATCCGGAGTGCAAATTGCCCCTTGCACACCGCGGAGCGACGCGCCCGGCGGCGCCGGCCCGCCCAGCCCCGGGCTTTGCTTGGGATCGGGGCTTCTAGACTACCCACCAAGCACTGCCGTTGTTGCCGATCAAAACTGCAGTACCATCATCCTCTTTTCCGCCCGCGCGCGCCAGCTATATGCGATTGTCTCTCCCCTACTCTATTTGTCCGAATGCTACATTGTCTAGTCAAGGGTAGCCCGACGAATGCTTGGTGAAAATGACGCGCGAACTTGAAATCCGGTGGTCCCCTTGTTATTTTTCATATGGATTGCGGTTGAAACGGTGGTGGATATGCGTGGACGCTAAATTGGCCTTTCTGTACCGTGTACGCAATGTGCTCTGCTGGCCAGAATGGCGTGCGCCGGCCACGCAACCTGCTTTGGGCTTTGAGTACGTGTCTGAGTTGTTACATTGCACGCGGGCGCCGGTGCCGTCACTGTCCGGCGCCAGTGTAGATATACCTACCGGTATGAGTGGCGCTCGGCCAGGGCCACCCGTGGCGCCGAGCGAACAGAGGGCGGCAGCTGCGGCGGCCGGCCGCTGCAGGGGTGGCCGGCCCGCCTCACAGGGCCCGAGACAGGGCGGCCACCCCGCCGGCGGCCGGCCGCCTGGGGTGTCTCCGAAGCGTGCGTATTATGCCAATAAAATAATAAAAAATAGTGTGCGTCTGACGGGGACGGGATGGCGAGAGACGAATAGAAACAAGAGGCGGAATGAAGCGCCACACACACACGCAATGGAGACGTGGCCAAAGTGGAAACGGGAAACACACACACGCTCAGTTCAATGAAAAACAATATCAAATTCCTATCTGTATTCAATGTAAACGCGTTTCGATTATTTCTTTATCTTTCAAGTTGAGCTATATTTGCAGTTGGGTCTACATACAGTGCAGGGATATTTCTATCTCGCACTCCTCTGGGGTGCCAAGATAAGAATTTGTTATCTTTGCATCCCTCTGAGAAGCAAAAATAAAGTCTCGAGGGTTCATAGCCAAAAATCAAGCGTTCAAGTGATGATGCGTCAATAACCGAACTATTTTATGAAACTTATGAATTAAAAACAAACTACTCTAAATTTGTTTTGCATAGATGAATATATTCAAATATAATATTTAATTGAGTACCTAAGAATAAACCTCAACATAGAAAGATATAGGATTCTTCATGGCTCACTCGTGGAAGATCGGATATCTTTTCCTCCCGTGTTACATAAATTCCTCCCGTGTCGCTCGGTTTTTCGGGTTTTTCAGTAACCCGAGAAAAGATATAGAGGATTCAGGATTCTTCATGGCTCCGAGTGGAAGATCGGATATCTTTTCCGCTTAAAAAAGATATCCTTATCTTCCACTCGGAGCCATGAAGAATCCTCTATATCAATACATGGATGCAATACAGATATAATGAACACATACGATTCAATGTGGGTGAACGCGAGCGATAAGATTGATATTTCAAACGTTATGACCTATTCACGTGGCGAAACTTTCTGTTCCCTCCATAATATTCTGCCCAAAATTGGTGCCAATGAGTAATCTCCTCTTTTCGAGCTGATATTTGGCACGCATTCAATCACCGCAGCTTCGATCATTTTTCGTCGATTTTTCCTTTTTCCGCTCCATAGAACCCTTGCGTCTTTCCATTTTTGTAAATGGTTTTGCTCCTCTATATGAATAACGAAAGAACTTGTATCTTTGTGGTTTCGAACGTCTCAAGTTTGAAATATCAACTCATCGCTCGCGTTCCCACAATGAATCGTGTATGTTCATTATATCTGTATTGCATCAATGTATTGATAAATAAATAATCGAAACGCGTTTACATCGAATACAGATATGAATTTGATATTGTTTTTCATTAAACTGAACATTTGTCAAAATGAGCAATATACACACACACGGAAACATAACGGGAACGTATACCATACCAGTAAAACGCCTTTTGGGCGAAGAACGAGCGAGCGAGATAGTGAGCCCTGCACGTGCAGAAGGGCGAGAGGGTACTTCCAACGGGCTTGTGCAAAGCACCCTTCTAACCGGTCGCTAGCGGTGTACCAAATTTGAACGCAATCGGCCCAGCCGTTCCTGAGATCTGGAAGCGGCATTCTGCACGTGCGCACGTGCAAACGGGGTCCAAAATGACTTTTGCACTGCACCCTACTAACCGGTCCCCAACCGTGTACCAAATTTGAGCGCAATCGGCCCAGCCGTTCTCGAGATCTGGAAACGCCCCCTGCACGTGCGCACGTGCAGTAGCACCCTAACCGCAACACATGGGAATGCATTGCCTGGTGGGTGCCTACCTGTAATCTGTATGCCAAGTTTCAGCGAAATCGCCCCAGTAATTACCGAGTTACTGAAATGGGAACAAATTTGGCACCTCTTATTGTTGTATTTTGCACGTGCAGTGGCGGTCACTCACATAGATGAAGAGTATCTGACCTTTGTTAGAAGGGATGCAGCTACCCTATAAAAATGACCGCAAGGCAATCGCTCAAGCCGCTGTTGAGATATGGGCCTCTCAAAATCATTGCTTTTGCAAAACTGCTTGAACACCCTTGACTTTTCACGTGGCACGTGCCACGGCGGTCACTGAGATGTATCAAAAGTAGTCAATTACGGGGTAGAAGGGATCGGGCTACCCAGCAAAAAAGACCGCAGGCCATTCGGTCCAGCGGTTGCTGAGATATAAGCCTCTCAAAAGCGTTACAGGCCGGACCGGGCCGGGCCGGGCCGGGCCGCTCATACTGAGATTTTTCTGTTATATTGAAAAGACTCACTTCGCTCGCTGCGCTCGCTCGCTCGTAATCACACGGGGCCAGTAAAATGTTTCACTCGGGACCGAGGGCTATGTTGAGATTGCCGCGCGAGGCCGAAGGTCAATAAACTCATCGATACGATACATGCGGAATCTAAAACGGGATACACCCGATGGGGATCATCTGGTGAAAGTGGAAACGGAAAATACGCACTCATGAGCTAGTTCGCATTCAGTATGTGCCACGACGACCGGCATCCTTACTGACAGAATACAGCGAACAGAGACATCACAATTCTGACGTATAGCCTTGCGTACTGGGAAGATTGGAGACGGGTTACGTCCAAACCACGGCTCGCACGGAAAGCTTTAGTTATACATCATTACGCTCCCGGGCACGTAACTATTTACACATCAATTCTACAACGCTCACGGAAAGATGTTTTTTTTTCCAAACAATGCACCTTAATTGGAATGACTTATACACAGACAAAGTTCACGGGAAGAAATACTGGCTTGCATATTTAGGTACTAAAAAATAACCGAAATACTTTCTTCCTCATTCTTTCATGCTCTTTCGAAAGCCGGTTACACGTGTTGGTCGCTACGTGGCTCAGGAGCCGAGTCAGGCATGGTGTTGGGGTGTTTAAACACCTCCCTCCCCCGCCCGGCTTAACGTGAGAGGGTTTACACAAAGTGTATTAGCACATAATCAAGTAAATAATTCAAACATCTCACAAACGGATGCAGCCGACGAGCCGCGGTGCACGGTAGACGACTGGTCGGGGTGTCCTGCCGTCCCGCTTTACCGTCCCAGACCCCACCACGGCTCGACCGAGCTCGGCTGAGGGCTGTATGTTTTGCAGCACACATCGCCACATGGCTCCATGCCGGGAGGGCAAGCACAACCAAAGGCGGCTCTGGGCCTGAGCTCAAAGCCTTGGGAGGCTCCAAGACACGGAGAAACCTGCTTCGTGGGGTAGTCCTCAGAGTGCTGAGTGTCTGTGTAGTCACTATAGTCTTCCTGACTCTGAGTGGCGAAAACGTTGTCGTCTCCCCTGTCAGTCCTGTAATCGTAGGAATTGTCTCTCCACCAGTTGGGATCATACACTGGCTGGCGAACGACGAACAGTTGGCCTTCGCTCGGCTGGCACTGGAGAATGAATACGACCAGAAGCTGAAACAGGCGGGAAACAACACATTGAAACGTCGGAACACAGCAGATAAAACAGACTAGAAAGTCAACTGCCGGCACAGACGGCTACAGCCGCGCCGGGGCCCTCAGTCTTGTGAATGTCCGGTAAATGGGATTTGACAGCAGGGGCTGAAGTTGAGCTGTGTGAAACGACCTTAAAACGCAAAGCGGCCGGCGGCTCGGTCCGCCCAGGAGAACATGTCAACGAGTCGGGTCTCTCACAAGGTGCCACTCGGATAAATCGCCCACTTCAGTCCATTGTACTGCTCCAGCATGGTCCTCAAAGGTGGTCAATGGTACCTAATCGGCTTATTTAGACAACAAAACTGACTAATTCTGATAATTTAAGAGATATGTATAATCAGGTATTTCATAAACATATTATTAAAATAATTGGTATATTTGGAAATAATTTGAAGCTTAACCCTCGCCCGTATAGGGGGGGGGGGGGGTCGAACGGACCCCTGCCATGGTTTTTCGCGAATAACTCGCGTAAAAAGCGGCCGATCGCGACGAAACTTTCAGTACCCTCGCGTTAATCAATTTTACACCTACCCTGAAAATTTCATGACCCTGACCCCAATGACCTTTGACCTGTGACCTACTTTTCGAGACCATGTTTGGCCAGAATCGCGATTCGGCGTATGTCGGCTCGCATTAGCCGCGCGTTTGCAGTCTTTTCGTGGTTTCAAGCGTTCAAACATGTGATATGATGTTGTCCCCATGCATTAGGGTAGGTGTCAAGGTCACCTGAAGGTCAGGTTAGGTCATTGACCTTTGGTGACCTCGGTTCACTTTTTCGAGTTTTACATGTTTCTAGGCCAGTTTTTGGAGCTGAATTCGAATTTAGCAACCATATGAACATTTACGAAAAAGTTTTGGTGCCTTCGTAACATGTTATGAAGCTGTCAGAGGCGGTTGACACCTACTAGGAATACCCGGCAGGAGCCCTACTGGTTGACCTGACCTGACCTGACCCGACCTGGACTAAATGCATAAAGACATCATCTGTGATCAAAACTAACATGATATGCGTGATCAGCGCCCCGAAAAACCCCATAGCAGCCACACTTTACGACGTTCTAACAGGTTCCGATTTTCCCGACTTTTGGGTCATTGACCTGACCTGCAAGGTCAACCAATGACCTAGGACCTTAAAATTAGGCATCATCGGCTTCCTCTCGTCACGGGCAACACGCTCGTTTTTTTTTCCGCGAAGCTCTAGCTCGATCAGGGGCGAAACAGCAAAGGGGGGGGGGGGGTTAAACGGACCCCCCTTATACGTTCGCGGCTGGAAAAACACCAATACGGGCGAGGGTTAAGCCATGCGCAAGAAAAAAAAACTCCATTCACATGCACACTGACACCGGTTCTTCGTTGGTATTAAATTGCCAGTTTAAGCAAAACTGAGAAGCAACCAGTCACAACTAAACAAATGAACCGGCTGATTCACCTACCAAGCTCGGCTGATTCACCTACCAGGCTCAGTCGAGCGACCCTGGTCGAAGGAAGGTAGCTGCCAGCCATCCTGCCTCCGTGGGTCTGCGGCTTCAACTGGTCAGAGGTCGAACCCTCGACTGACTTTTGTCACCGGACATGACACAACAGTCGCACCAATGCCGAGCCGGAGGTCCGGTAAATATTCTGGCCCCTCAGAATTCGGGGGCCCTTTTCACGGTCACCCTGTGCCGTTTTCAGGGTCACGATAATCGATGTTGAATATGTAGCGGTGGCGGGTCGGTGGACTGCGACACAGCCAAACCATGCATGACAATTTCCACACAAGTAGGTTTTATACACTGACCGACATAATGCTGCCATGCATCGAGTCAGCGAACGGAGCTCACCACATGCGAATGTAGGCACAGACTCCTGACTTCCCAGTTCAGACTTCGCGACTCCAGGCTGTTGGCATCATCCAAATTCCACGACCAAAGCCGGACAGGTATTCGTCAAATACTTTTCCGTCACGCCTATTTTCGCTCACGTTTCATATCAAAATGTGTCCGCTGTAGCATATTACTATTTGTACTCGCCTGGCACTTAATTTTTACACCCACGTAAAGGTACTGATAGCATGATCAAGGCCAGCAATATACTTAACCCGCGCCGGGCCGGTGCTCCGCGACTTCCGCGCCGGACCGGGGGGGGGGTGTCTGAACACCCCCCGTTTTACTCGGCCCCTGGGCCACGTAGCGACACGCATAAGCGGAATTCGAAAGAGCGTCAAAAATAATGACGGAAACACTTGTCATTTTTTGGGTCAGGTCAAAGGTCAGATCGCCACAGAGGTCACCGGTCAAATGTAGGCCATTTCAACAATTTTGGAAACTGCCGACGGCTAACTCGGGAACCAATAGAGCTACAGCGCCTCGAAAAAGCGCATTAGATAGCCCTTCTACAGACCTTTCTGAGCAATGCTCTCAGATTTGACCTCAGGTCAACGTTTAAGCCTCCAGAGGGCAAAAACTCCAAACATAGCCGTTTTTACGAAAAGCATTTTTTTCGGCAATAACTTTTGATTCAAAAGAGCCATGACATTACTTTTGCCAGCATCGTGCTCCTCCAGTTGAGACGCGTCGAATGAACTATAATTTGACCTTGAAAGGTCATTTTGAAAATTTGACCTCAGGTCAAGGTCATGACCTGACCGGAAAGGGTCATGTTGCAAATCAGTCGATCCGTATCATCGAGCTGAATACATCTGACGTGTTTTCATCGCTCTAGCACGTCTTTATCAAAAGTTGTAGCAAAAAAACTGCTGGTGACCGTTCATGACCTGAGATGACCTCAGGGGCACACAGAGGGGTCACAGGTGCATTTTTCCGATTCAGTGTGTCATTTTTACCCATGAACCGATGTTTGAGAGGTTTTTGAACACCATTCGTCCACAAGAGGCCCATTTCAATTTTCTCCCATTGACTTATAGGTAATAGAGAGGTCGCAAAGTGACCTGACCTTAGGTCACCGAAATCAAAATTCCGAGATAAACATTTTGTACATACTGTTACTCTTATCAATTGCTGAAAGTTGTAAGGCGATCGTTCAGCCGCTGTAGCTCTGACGAGGGTTGAAACTTTTTCTGAGGTGAGGTCACTTGACGTGACCTGGTGACCCAACCTTGAAAGCCCTGGGTACTTATTGACGTGAATACCAAATTATACTTACGAAAGAAAATCGACTTACGAAGTCGACGTGAATACGGCCCCTGGTCAAAGACCACGAGCTAAGGTTTTAATTTTTTTTTAACCAACAACCTAAACGAAAATGCTCCTAGAGCTAAGAGAGAGGTTGCAATGCACGGCTCGTCAAAATTTTCCAAACGGTAAGTTCTTTGAAAAAGGTCAAGTTTCCCCGCAGGGGGCTGACCGTGGTCAGAGCTGCTGCTTAGCCGGGGTCTGGCTCCGGCTGTGCGGCGGCTGTGACTTCGGCCAGTAAGGGGAGTAGCGCCCCCTCGGCCCCAGCTTGACGCGCGTTTTGACCTGGACTTGCCTTGCTTGGATGGATTGTCTGCAGGATTGGCCCCGCAGGGGGTTGGCAGTGGCCGGGGTCGCTGTCGGACTGGGTTCCTTGGGCCTTTGCCCCGCGGCGGCCTTGGCCTCGGCCAGCAAGGGGAGTAGCGCCCCCTCGGCCCCAGCTTGACCCATGCTTGCTTGCGACTTGCTTTGATCGCTGGTTGGACAGATGGTACGGCCCGACTTTTCTTGGTTTTCGTGGTTTTGTTTCTCTTGAGCGGTCTCTGTTTGCTTTTGCTTTGCTTTTCACCGGATGTCCGCGTTTCTTTCGATCACAGCTTTATGATTCTTTTCCTACCTCTTTCGTTGTTTTTGCACCCGCAGGAACACAGCCGAGTTGGGCTAGTGTAAGGGGAGTGGCGTCCCCTCGGGTACCAGCCGGTTTTACTAGGCTAGGCGAGCCGACCCGTACCCCAGGACAACGGGATCCTGGAGGTTGAGCCCCCCACCGTGCGGAGCCAGTCGCGGTGGCTGGGCAACACGCCTCTTTGGCCCTGAGTTCTGTAAGGGCGGGACACTCAGTGGGGCGCCGCACTTGAGGAGCCATTCCCAGTCGTGACGCCGCCGGGGGTGGTGTCTGAGAGGTGTCGCCGGCGGGGTTCGGGCACTTGTGCTCGTCCTCCGTCGGTGGGACTGATCTGTCGCTGCCCCTGGCGGTGACTCGGCTAGGCGTCAAGGGAGGAGGCGGTATCCGACCGTGGGGGGTGGTGAGTCTCTCTCTCCCCCGCGGAAGGTGCCGCCAAGTCCCGTACAGTCAGCTCGGCCGTCCCAGGCCTTGTAGCGGCGCCGTTGCGGAGCGTCGGCGGCCGAGCTGGCGGAGACCAAGCACACTCCATGGATAACTCGACCAACCCCCCTTCCCCCACTCTTACCAATCCTTCGGCCTCGGCCGATCCTCGCCCGTTGGCCTCGGCCGACAGGCGAACGGTGCTTGAAAAAGGTCCACGATCTCCTAAGATCCTCATCTTCCGGAGCGCAGACAGGGAGCTGAGCTCTCTGTCGCCCTTCCAGCGGAAGGATGGCTGCGACCGGTTCGGTTCGATAGTTCGTTGTGACCGGATGCGTGATGGCGCGCTGGAGGTCGAGTTCAGGAAAAGCGAGGAGGCGGCGAAAGCATTGGACGCTACTCGCTTCGTGTTCTCCGAGGGACGGGCATCCGGCCGGAGGCTCGTTTCCATCCCGCTTACAGTGGAGCCCCACCGTTCTAAGAACTCCTCACGAGGGGTCATTAACTGTTTCGATTTGAGGGGAGTGAGCGACGAGGATATTGCGGACGGGCTCGCCGATTTCGGCGTGACAGCGGCTCGCCGCATCATGACGAAGAGAGGCACGGTCTCGACCAACAACATCATTCTGACATTTGACTCTACCGACTTGCCGAGTGAGATTCGCGTGGGCTACGTGAAGGTTCGCGTGCGGCCTTTCGTCCCAGCGCCCATGCGCTGCTTCCGCTGCCAACGTTTCGGCCACACAAAGGACAACTGCCGAGGAAGACCCACGTGCTCCAAGTGTGCTTCGCAGGACCACACTGACGAAACCTGTGACTCGGAGACCCCCCGATGCGTCAACTGCGGAGAGGGGCAGACGCCGCACTCCGCGTATGATAGGTCTTGCCCTGCATACGTCAAGGAGAAAGAGATCATAACCATCAAGGCTACCAGAAATCTGTCTTTCAAAGAGGCCCGGGAGGTGTACAACCAGAGTCACCCGAAGACCTCGTATGCCCAGAAGGTGAGAGTCACAAACTCTACCGATGCCTCCCAGATGAGCGTAGCACAGCTCGTGCAGCTTCTCAAACGATTCGGCCTCACCGTCGTAGCCACTGGTGACTCAGCGGACAACACGGCGCCTCGTGCGCCGCCGAGCAACACAGAGCAGGCTGCTCAAGAGTCAGTGTGGGGTCCACCCAGTCCCGCTCCAGCCGCGAACGGTAATGGAGACGATTGGACCGTCGTCCAGCGCCGACAGGGTGGTCGGCGCCCCCCGGCGCAGGGTAAGGCGCCACCCACCCCGCCCCGCCCCCGACCGTCTACGGCGGTGCAGGAGGCTCTGCGGCGGGGGGAGGAGGAGAGAAGGGCACGTGAGGCGAGGAGGGCTCGCCTCGTCCAGAAGGCCCTCGAGGCTAAGGAAGCCTCGTCTGCCGACTCCGCCTCCGGGAGTGCCAATGCGGCTGTCGCCGCTGACACCCCGGAGACACCTGAGGCGGGGACTCGGCCCATCATGGGTCCCCCGCCGCCTCCTCCACCTCCGCAGCGGCGGCCACCACCGCCGCTGCCAGAGACGCCTGTGTCGAGGACACAGGCCGCCGCCTCGACATCCCCGTCGGGGCGGCAACAGCCCTCCGCGGCTCCAGGGCGCCTCGCCAAGCGGCAGACGCCCCCGAGCTGGTCACCTTCGGAGGGCGACGCCCCCCGGTCGAAAAGGCCCCAGCCGGGCCCGAGCCATGCCCGATCTGCCTCTGCTGAAGGGAGGCTTCACCGAGAGGGCTCAGGGCACCCCCGTATCCGCTACGGGGGGAGCGCCTCCTCGGAGTTAGAGGACCTAGTCTAGTCCTTCAGTCTAGTCATTTCCTCTTTTATCCTTTTATCTTTTTCGCGCTATTGCGCTTTTTTACCAGGTGCATTTCTCTCGGTGCTTTTTACCTTTTTTTTGTGGTCAGTCAGGTATCTGTGTGCGCCTTTGCCTCATGTTATACGCGCCCTTTTTGCGCCTTTTTAACCACGCCTTTTATTCTACAGTGGAACTGTAGAGGCCTCCGGGCCAACTACCAGGACCTACAGTCTCTTATCCGTTGGCGCACACCCCTTGTTTTAGGTCTCCAGGAGACCAAGCTAGCGCCAAACGTTACCTTTGCCATCAAGGGCTACTCTGTTTTTAGAAGAGACCTGGACACCCCTACCATTGCCCATGGAGGTGTGCTTCTGGCGGTTCACCACAGCGTACCTGCTCGCCAGGTGCCGCTGCAGACTCCCCTGCAGGCGGTGGCCGCCAGAGTTGATTTCAACCACCGGGAACTGACAGTGTGCTCTTTATACCTACCACCAGGT